GTGTTACACACAGCACACACACACACACACACGCACACACACACACACACACACGCACACACACACACACACACACACACACACACACACACACACACACACACACAGACGCGCACACAGACACACACACACATCGCCCCTCAAACAACCCTCCCTCCCCCCTCCCCCCCCCCACACCCATGTGCAGCGTATCTGGTGCTGAGCAGCATCAGTTTTGGAGGGCACAAGAACAGCGTGCTGTTTGGGATTGCGTGTGCGTTGACGGCATTGGCGCTGTTCACGCTGGGTGCTGTCAAGAGCCGCTACATCGGCCAGCGGTGGTACGTGAGCGGGCTCACCATGCTTGCCAACGGCAGCGTCGCTGCGACAGCAGCCTTTCTCGTCGGCTACGGGTACGAAAGCGCCTGCATGAGGCGCGTTTGTTCGTGTGTTCGTTCGTGCTGATTTCGTGTGCTTCGCGATGTACATCGCGATGTGCTTCGCGATGTGCTTCGCGATGTGCTTCGTGTGTGCTGTCTACAAACAAGCAAGTGCTGCCCTCCCTTGCATCCGCACATTCACTCACTCCTGCTTGTCTCTGCTTTCTTGGGCAGACTTGACTTTGTAGTCTCGGACACAGAGTGTTAAGCGAGTGGGCGCAAAGGTACAGGTTACAGAAAACACACACACACACACCTACACACACACACACACACACTCTCTCTCTCTCTCACACACACACACACACACAAACACCAACACACACCAACACACACACACACACACACACACACACACACACACACACACACACAACACCGTTGTCCGCTTTTCGCACTTGTAGAAGATTATGTGTATGTTCGATTAAATTTCTACCCAAAAACTGACAAACGAGAAGAACAACCAAACAGGCACAAACCACCCGAACCACCCACATCGCCACGAATGGCATCACCACCTCGACGCACACGCACACGAGCACAATCCAGCAGCGTGTCGCCAACGCGACAGTCCTCCGCACCGACGCCTCGTCTGCGCTGACAACAAACATCAAGGCATCCCTGGTTGTATCGGGTTGGGCGTGTTAATTTGCGTTCACATCATCACGTCACTCAACAACACGCAATAACACAAACGATACGCAGCCGCTCCCAACCATCACCACCAAGTTGTGAAAATGCGTCCCTCCCGTCAGCTTCGACCGGCTGCCCCGCACGTCTTCCTGAATCGATTTGCCAACCACTGTGCACGCAGCCTACAGCAAGTTCGTATGAGGTTGCGTTTGTTGTGCAACGTGTGGTGAACCCTGACGAGCCGCGGAACGCAAACATCACTGGAATCCACAACAACCAAAACACACCCAGATGCGGAGGCCTTGGGTTGGCTTTGCCACCAATTATCGCATTCACATCGTCGCCACCACCCCAACATACCGAGAACTTGTTTACACACCACCCAACATACCAGGCAGGTTGGTTGGTTGATACATATTGGTGTGTGTTGATTTGAGCCAAGCAAAACTCGAGCCTTGTGTTGCTTCTGCTTGCTGTGTTGGGGCTGCTGCCTTGATGCCACCGCCAGGCCTTGCGTCTGTCTGTCTTGCATTCTCTCACCTTCCATCCCATCCTTGCCCGTCCATCCCATCTTTGCTTTGCTTCCTCCTTCCGTCTCTGCTTCTGTCGCACGCGCAGAGCCGCAGAGCTCTTCCATTCACCCACACTCACGCGAGCCAACACACCGTCTCGAGCGAGCCATCATCGTCTCTATCGAACCTAAACACGCGCGCTTCCACCTCTCCTCCTCCTTCCATCACCACCGCGTACCATCTTGGCGCGCGATACCATCCACCATCGCCAACGCGTCGAGTCGCAGCGTTGCTTGCCCATCTCGCCTTTCCTTGCTGCTGTGATCTGCCCAGCTCGTGGCACATCATCCTTCTGACTTGATCGAGACTTCTCCCACTTCCCACACCAGCACCACCGCTCACGCGGCCACATCGACCGACTGAGCGAGCGAGTCAGACGCACCACCGCCACCACAATCATGGCGCGGGTAGCACTGGTGCTGCTCGCATTGGCGGCAACCACAGCCGTCACTGCCGCAAGCACTTATGACGACTCCATGATCCAAGTCAAGTGCCAAGCCTACGGCTCCACCACGGTATGGCTTTGCTGTTGGGATGTGTGTTGTTCTTGTGATGCTGTGTGATGTGGCCTGTTGTGTTTGTTGTTGTTGTTGTTGTTTATTGTTGTTTGTTGTGTACCTTCCCACCACGGCCGCCAAATATGTGCGCCCACGCCCACACCCACCGATTTCAACTGATATGATACCCTTGTGTTCACATACCCCCCCCCCACTCACCAACACCAACATCTAGCCAACGGACTGTAGCTCCGTGTCGCATCCTCGATGGGTGCGCTACCAGGGCAACCTCTCTCCTTCCCACAATCACGCCATCCAAGCTGGTATGTCTGTGTGTGTGTGTGTGTGTGTGTGTGTGTGTGTGTGTGTGTGTGTGTGT